CTACCTTAATATACCCGTGGCACCCTAATAGTATAGCGATAACTTATATCCTTATACGGGCGCCGGCTATTAGCGTACTAAAAACACGTAGTATTAGTTCCCGTAGTATTAGTATAGGCTTTAACGTCGTTGGGGTATATTCCTAGACGCTTACTATAACGTAAGTAACGACTATATATTAGCCACTATAACACTACTTCGGCACCACTAAGGTATATATATAGTATAACACGAACGGTGCCCTGTTCGTAGCATTATTTATTACTATTAGGAGAAGGTATCTACGGCTATTAGTATACTACCACCACGGCGCTACCACGATATAGAGATACTTATATTAAGGTAATATTTACGGTTAATATTATAATTATTAATACTATTACTATTATACTACCTAGTTAACCCTACGCCACTATAACACCACCTATAAACTGTAGATCACGTACTAGAATTAGATAAGGAAAATTATAAATTGACGTTGCTATTAGTTAGTATAACGCCACGATAGTAAGTCTATAAGACCGTAGGCGGGATCGTAATAAGGAATACCTATAACGAACTCTATAGCATTATAGGAAGGAAAAAGAGGAAAAGAGGAAGACTATACCCTATATTAACTATCTACTATTCTCTACGGGTATAGGCGAAGCCCTACCCTCCCTGCCTACCGCCGGATATAGCAGGCACCCCCCCCTTAAGGGAGGCAGGAACGCCTGCCCTATCTTTTCTCTTTATTAATTAAATAAAAGGAATAATAGGTATAATGCCCGGGGATATAGGGAGGCCGGACACGGCGTGCCGAGGTTACTATATAATAGAGGCGCCGCGGCACCCTTTCGGCCCCCGCCCCCTTACTAACGACCGGCCTAGGCTAACCCGAACTATAGCCTACTACCCTTCCTATTATCTATTAGCCTAGAGGTGTGATCTAGATATATAGAAGGGATAAACCGGGGCTATATCGGCCCCGTAGCGGTACTAATCTAACTAAGGACGAGTATAGAGGTTTTCTCCGGAATCCCGGGTTTTCCCCTTTATAGCTACCCGAGAAGGACTATATAGTCTAAACTAGGCTCTTATAGATTATATAGGATAGCGGAGTAAGAATAACAATAATAATAATAATTAATTATAAGACTGCTAATACCACGCGACGGTATACGCGTGTTAATTCCCGAGGTATACTATTATTAGAGTATAATCGGTTTAATCCTATATACCGCTATTATAATAAGGCCTAATATCGGTTCGCCTATTCGAAGCTTTTCTAATATAACGTTAACCCCTCCTCTAACCACTTTAAAAGGGCTTAATAAGTGCTACTATTCCTATACTATATAAGACACTACTACCCGGAATTCAGCGGGGATAGACTCTTCTTAACCGTAAGCGACGCGTTCTTCGGGGATAATCCAGACCCTAAGAGCTTATAAGGATATACGATAAAGCTTTTCGGCGGCACTATTAACTAGAAGGCTGGTAAGTAACCGATAATCACGATATCGTTAATAGAGTCAGAACTACTCGCTCTTATAAAGGCCGCTAAGGAGACGTTATTCGTTAGTCGGATATTAAGGGGTTTAAAACTTCGGTTAGATTAATAATAACTATAGCTATATTACGATAATTAGTAGACTATTAACCTCGTTAATAAGAAGGCATAACGCCTGCAAATAAGGCTACGGCACGTGGATATTTATAACTAGTAGGCGCGCTAGTTAGTATAGTAAGATCTCTTTAAGGTTACGTACGTTAATATAAAGAATATAATCACAGACGGCCTAATAAAGGCGCTACCGGGGGCAGGGATTAAAAAACTATAATAATAGCTTAATTTAACGGATTAAAAGAATCGTATTAAGTAGTTAAAGCAACTGTATAAAAAGATCGAAAGCGCTAAAGCCGTAGCGATAACGAAGGCCCCTAAGGGCGTAGAAGATCCGATAGATATAGATCCGATTAAGTAGATCCGGCTAATCAGAATTAAGGAACTAATTAAGATAGAATTAAATTAAACGCTTAAATAGAGCGGATTTAGATCCTTTTTACAAGGGCGTTTTCCCTTAACTATTAGTTTCACGATAGAAAAGTTAAGAGCTTTTAGTCTAAACCAAAGCCTCTAATTAGTTAGTTAACCTAGGAAGATCCACGTTAACTAAGGGGGTATATCGTATAGGTACACGGACCACGACGTAGTCCCTAGGGGATCTATGCCTGACTAAGAGCTTCGGATCTCGGGGACCTCGGGTATCAGGATATAATAAGGGAGGATACCGGAAAAGACCGGATAGGATCCAAATAATATAGTACCTATAACAGAGTCTTTACCACCTAAATTAAGGGTATCAGAGACTTATATTAATATAACTTAATATACTATATATATACGAGATTTCCACTCTATTAAATTAGTTATATAAGTGCTATTTTAACGTGCGATAGTTATAAGCCCGGTAGCCGTTTCAGCGTAGTTATTGCCAAGTATACCCCTTAAAAATAACCTTAATTCGAAACGTGGAAAACCTATAAGCAAAAAAAAAGACGGATAGTTAGAGCTATTAGTGCTTATTAATGACTTGTCTAGCCTACCAGGCAGTACTGCCTGCTAATCTGGGGGGTATGTCATATTAAATATAAGCACTTAAATAAGCCCTATGTATAAGATATAGGAAATCCCTTTTATCGTAGTGGTATATTTTTGAGATGCGACAGTTAGTGCCCCCTATATATACCTATCCCCCTATTTCTTCTCGTTATAATATTATCTATTAGTAACCGGTTATAAGTAACGATTATTCTGTCTAGCACCCCCGTTATATATGCGTCGTATACCCCTATTACGGGATAGCTCCCCAGGACGCTCGCGGGATATAGGGCTCTTCTCGCCCGGGGTATATAATACGACTATAATAGGCAGGTATTATACGCATATAAGGGTCCCATAGCCCAAACCCTATACGAATAAATAGAGTTCGCCGCTAGGTACCTAAATAAACGTATAGAGCCTAGTAGCCAGAATTAATCCGGCTACTTCAGAATAGATAGTCCGGGTCCGGCAAAGAATATATCCTCGGTGCTACCTCCTCCTTAGTTTAGAGAAGATATCTTTATTATACTCTATTTACTATAGTAAAGGTCGCCCCTTAAATCCTAGGATCCCTACGTCTAATAGTAATGGCTAGCTAGAGATATACCTGGATAGGGTATAATAAATCCTAGAGCTTCTAGGTTCCAGAGTACTGGCTGGCCAGAGATATGCCTGGATAGAGCATATTACCTAGGGTTTGATAATAATACGCCCACGGCGTATTATAGAAAGCACCCCTTGCCGGGGTATACCGCGGGAACCGAGTTCCACGGGAGTATACCGTGAGGACCGCATTCCACGGGGGTATACCACGGATACTAGGTACTACGGGGGTCTACTGTAAGAACTGTGTTCTACGAGGGTATATTATAAAAACAATATACTAAGGAGGTACGTAGTAGGAACTAGGTATTATTGGGCTATAGTAAGGAGACTAGACTATCCCCGGGGTTTCCCTATAGATATATTAGTTCAGGACTTTGCCCCTTAGTTTAGATAAACTATCTTTATTATACCCTGTTTACTATAGTAAAGATCGCCGCTTAAACCCTAGAATCCCTAGGTCCGATAATACTAGCTAGCCAGAGATATACCCAGATAGGGTATATTAAATCCTAGAACCTCTAGGTCCTATGATACTGGCTGGCTAGAGATATGCCTAGATAGGGTATATTGGATAGTACGGTCGTAGCGTTCTAAGATCTCTTTTAAAGGTATATGCCCCTTATTTCTATATGCCTTGTTAACGTTAGGGCACTTCTATAAGGGCTTATAATTATATTTGCTTCTCTTTTTATCACGATAGTTATAAAGCCATTCCTTCTTCTACTATAGAGAGGACTATTAGGTGTCCTGTTATCCTTATTATACCGGCTATTACTTACCTTCTTTATCTTTTCCTAGGAAGGTTGCCATATAAAATAATAATATAGTAGGCTTTTTATCGAGTCGGTGTAGCTAGCGGTGATAAAGCTATATCGTATACTCCTTTATAATAGATTAGATAAAAGGTAGGCTATTTTCTTCTGGGCGTAGAAGCTTTATATACCGTGCCTCGGACTATTACGGGGCTAGGCTCCCGATAGCTTTAAAAAAGCCGTTAATCTAATCTTTCTTAGTATTATTAGCACGAACTTTATACGTCTCGGTGTCGCGGTATAGCTTAAGAAGACCTTCTAGCTAGCGCTTATAGGGTATATGCCTAACGTTTTAGAGGTATTCGTCCTAATATCTCTTAATAGTAGCTTCTAGCCGGCGTTTATAGGCTTAGGGTGTGTCTTAAGGGCTTATAGTATATCCCTTACTTCCTATTTACCGACGTATTAATTCTTCAAGGTAGGACTAATAGTCTTCGCGATAAAGTCGTGTGGAGCGTGGAGGCCCCTTTATTCGGCCTTATAACGATCCTCTTCTAGCTAGTAGATCTTAAATAGTATATCCTAATTAAAGGTATTTTATTGTTCTGCGAACATAGGCGGCTTTAGTAGATCGGTTAAGATACGGCGTGGTTTAACCTCTTTAAGGTCAGGATTAACGAGGTTAGCTATATTATAGGAGTATATAATAGTCCTCACAGCTTTAATCTAAGGGCGCTAGTCCTTCGGTAAGATAAGCATTATAAGGTCTATTACGGGTACTACTACTATAGAAGTTATTATTATACTAATAAAAAGCAGTATAATAAGATAAGCGGAAAGGTCGATTAACAATACTAAACGATTTAAACGATAGTACGTCAAAGCGATAAAACGACTAAATATAATAAAAGCAGGCGGACATAACAGCAGAATAGCTATAGCCGTAATGGACTTAAGGCTTTAAAATAGGATATCTGTCTTAGAGCTATTAGATCTTCCGGAATAGTCGTTTTACTAGAGCGCCGGGCTTATAACTATTAGAATATAAATAAAGGTGCGGAATTATATATATATATATATTTATCTAAGTGAAGCTTATAGTACTTTATAGGGATATCTAACTATAGAAAAAAAAGCAGGAGAAATAAACATAGATATATAGGATCAAGGTACTCTATACGTCTAATATAATGTAGTTTATCATACCTCGATAAGGTGACTAAGGGCATCTGATAAAATAAGAGGCGATGTTATTGCGTTACCTAGTGTGGTAGTATTCGACCGTGTACTGTACATGTGTAATACGTCGCGACTCAACTGGCATATACAGATTTTGGTGTAGTACTTAAAGTCAACCGATATGGCTATCGCAGCTCTGTTTCGTTGTCCTGAAATGACACCGTGATGTCCTCGCAGTGCAGCCCTGAATACATCACGAACCAGACAGACTACGCTACCTTATGTGATAGGAGGCAACCCGTAAAAAGGAACACCGTTCACCCCAAACACGATGAAAAGAACAGTAGTGTCTGTTACGTAAATTGCCTGTCTCAAGATGGTTCTGTCCAATTTACCTGCTCCATTAACTGACCAGCAGACGGGTGGATGAACTGGATTCTCAGGCGTAATCTCAGTGCCTGGAGAAGAATTTAGTAAGCAAAGGACGCGCCTTGAATGATACTTGATTCGTTACAACTTACCCCCTTTGCCCCGGACACTCTCATCACCTGGGTTGCCTCAGCCCCAGGATCCAGGTGAGGGCTCGAGATGCCCGTAAGCTGGAGCTTCTGCGTCTTGGGTACTGCAGCTTGCAAGCCCACGCCAGAGAGTGTAACAGCGCCAGATGTGTTTCGAAACCGGGCAGTCGCCTGGACTAGCCCTTCGGCATTGCGCTGGACCTGCATAATTACCTGGAGGTCATTGGAATTGTAGCAAGGGATCTCAGCTGGAACATGCGCTGCTGGCGTTGCCGAGTTACCCGAGTTTATAGCGCCGCTGGGTACATCTGACCGTGCAGTCTGCGCCTCCGAGTTTGAACCAAATAGATCCATGATGGAGGCGACATTGGATTGCTGGGGTGTAGGAGAGGTTGGGGTAGGTGCCGATGAGGAGGTTTCAGTAGTACCAAGGATGTCGTCGAGTAGATTTGCGCTGGCCTTCTTGGTAGACCCATGGGCAGTGGCAGGTGTGTCGGCGAAACCAAACAGTAGGTCTTCTTCAGTTGGCTTAAGAATCTTCGATTTCCTGTGAGACTCCTTATTCGCTTTCTTCGTAGTGGCTCGGCCAAGGACCCGCGACTCTTCTTTGATCTGAGGGGGTGGCATTTTCTCGAGTACTCCCCGGCGAATTGTATCGTGGGAGAAGAGATTCCCGTATTCCACCGCACGTTGTTGCACTTCAACATCGAGGCTTGTCTGGTTTGACTGAAGTAGCCGCCTGACCCTCTCAATTTGTGTGGGTTCCGATAGCCGGGTCGTCAACTTCATCAGGGCAGTTACGATGTACTCGGTCGATACCTGGGTCGCGTAACTACTGTTGAGAATCGAGGAGAATAAATCGATAATCTCATGCTCTCTGACTTCTTGCACTAGCTCCTCTTCTTCGTAATGCCCGTTCTGTAGCAAGGCATCGCCATACTCACCAATGCACCAGGCCCCGGCCTGTGTCAAGCTTTCCTGCGTGATATCCTTCTTCAGGCTGGTATAGAGCTTCTGGACTGCGTAGGTTTGTAGCTCCGTGGTAGTGGCAACCAGCCGGATGAAGGACGATAGGATGGGTTCTTTGACATAGTTCCCTGCAAGCATCAGCACTCGCAACATCGTGTCGATGTGCCAGCGCTTATTGGGGGCGAACTTGTCGGCACCGATACCGATCTGGCTCGTCATTGTAGGTTTGAACTCATTGTCTGCTACCTCCAGAAAAGCTAGCAGTTCCCGAATTAGAACGCGAACATTGTTTTCATTGATGAGAGTGAAGCTAAGGTCGAGGGCCCGTCTCCTAATGCTGATGTCGGGATCTCTGAGGCATTCCAGGATTGTGTTCCTGTGTCTTTGAACAGCGGTCGGTTCGATGGCAACCACTTTGGTGAGGGTGTTCAGGGCGACATAGCGAATGTTATTATCCCGATTTGACAGGAATTTACCCAGAATATTGACTCCAAGCACGCGAAGGCCAGAATCGGCCTCGATATCCAGAATAGTTCGGACAGCCTCGTATAGAATGGAATTGCCCACGTTCTTGGACGAATCAGTGTTGGTCGCCACCTGAGCCAATATGTCGTTGATCTGCTCGCTGACTTGTGCATCACCTATGGCAAGTACCCTGAGGAGACGCAGAATTTTGACTTGCAGGAATGGGTCTGTAACGCCAGCAACGTCATGTTCCGGCGCATAGCCAGAGGTGGCCAGCCCTTTCAATGTGCGAACGAGCTGAGGGACAAACTGCTTGAAGTTGTCGACAACGCCGTCTTCTCCGCCTTGTTCTTCGTCTGCCTCACAGAGACTGGTGACCAGTGTCAAACCGGAAAGAAGGACACCATGGTTGCGATCAGATAGCAAATGCTTCGCTTTTTCGATGAAATGTTCGCGCAGGTCAGGGACTTTTCGACAGATCCGCATGGCACAGAGGGCCGCTTTCCTTCGAATGTACGGGTTGGAGGTATTAACACATATTTCGACTTCGGAAGAAAGATCCCTCGACATCTCAACCGAAGAAATGTTGCCCAGCGTGCATAGGGCGAGTCCGACGACGTACTGATTCGAGTGGGAGAGGTCACTGGATTCTCATCAGCGTACTGGCGGAAAAGACAGCTGTATGGAACCATGCGGTTGGTACTTTTTGAGGGAGTTGGTAACCAAGGTCAATACTTCCTGATTCTCGTCTAGCAACAGACTAGTGGCGAGGTGACCGAGTCGCTTGTCCGCAAATCGGGTGGATGCGAGAAGTTTGAGACATTCTATCTGGCCAAAGTGCGTTCTCTCGCCCAAGGTGAAGAGGTAGAGCAACTTCGCTACATTGTTTCGTCTGGTTCTATCAGTACCTGCTTCGACTGACAAGCTGAAGTCCAAGATATGCCGAGAAGGAGTTGGAGCTTACCGGGTCCCATGGTCGTGACTCTCCTCCCTGAAGCTTGCGCGAATCGATGCGCTTTCCTTTTGAATAACAGCCCGCTCGTCGGCGATGGTCTTCGCGGAACGCACGTTGCGAATAAATTGCTTCACTACACGTCATGGTAAGTCAGGATGCTCAATAAATGGAGGGAGTTGCTTCGTGCATACGGGAAGCCATTGTGATAACTTGGAGGAAGTCGACGCTGGGCAACCGAGGAGCGTCGTGGCAGGTTAAGGTATTCTGGATCCGTCCCACATGGGGATAGATTGTCAGCTAAAGCGTAGTCAAAATCGTCATAAAATAGGTCAAAATTTAATTGAGGCAATTATATATAATTATAACTGTGTCGGACCGTCAGGGAAACGCTGCTACCGTATTTTATATAGTGTAGATTCTGTAAGCGTTTACCCGGATTATACTTTTAGTAATCCGGCCCATTATATAACCGAAAAAGACTATAGTCTATTCGATATACCTCCTAATCGCCCTAAAACGTTAGTTAGGCGATTAAAGCTATTTGTAATCGGCAGATAATCTAGTTATATAATCTATTCGCTATAGCCGCCCTTAAATTTATCCTCTAGGTCCTCTAAATATTCTATCCGGACTTCCTCTAGCTGTTATAACCGTTCCCGTATATCTATCACGTCCACCTAGGACCTGAATATCTTAGATTTCTCGCCGTATAACGTCTTTATCAGCCCGTCTACTATTATCTCCGCGCTTATGATGTACGTTATAATTATCTGCCCTTATTCCTTTACTTAACGTAACTAATAGCCGTGGATATCGATATAACGGAGGCGTGTTATTAGCGTACTAATCTCTTAGTTAACTAATTAAATCGTTTAGTTATTATTATATAGGATCCTTAATTCCAGATCGTTATATTCAACTCCTATACTAAGTAATAGGCGTTATATAATAATACCCTTTTTAGTACCTTATACTAACGCTAATAGCTCTGTTTTCGTTATTAATATTATAACTGTATCCTGCTTATTAGCGCGCTACGCGATTATACCGCTAAATAAGCGTATTATATAGGCTTGACTACTCTTACGATCAAGGGTATTATCGGTAAACGAGGTATTAGTATAGATTTCGATAGTATCGTTACCCCCTAATTCTAACGTAAACGATTAGCTATTAATTAGATAAAGGATTAGATAATCGGCGGCCTTATAGTGAATAGGCCCTGGATTAACGTTAAACCGGTATAGCCTAGATACTATAAACGCGATATTAGGCCACGATATCACTACTACGTATAGTATAGATCCTATCTTCCGTTAATAGCTTTTAATATCCGTTAAGGTCCCTGAATAGGGCAGTAGTTCTGCGATTTTAATTAGGTGCGTTAGGCGATAGTTATTACTATGCTTACTATTACTATTTAGCTTTAATAGGCGTTTTAACTTAGTAACGTAGTCGTGTTATAATAGCTAGATTTTACGGGCGGTATAGTCGCGAATAACCTTAATACTAAGGAACTATTATAGAGGTTCGCTACCTTTTAGGTTATAGTGGCGTTATAGGTTATTAATGGCCTACTTTATCTACGCCTTATATTATTCCTTATAAGTAATAACGATATCGTCGATGTAGAAGAATAGAATTAAACCACGTCGTAGAAAATAACACGGTTCCTACGACACTATCTAAAAACCGTCCGCTAAGAGGATAGTCGAAAAGTGGTTTTACTATAGTAATAAGAACTCCTTAAGTCTATATAACGCCTTATTCAGGTAAAGACGACTCTTAGGGGCTAGAAAGCCTAGCGGCGGGTATATAAAGATATCGTGGGGGAGGGGCGCATATATAAACGCGTTTACTATATCGAATTATAGTAGCGTAAGGTTAAAACGGGCGGCGATAGCTATTAACGCGCGGAATAACCGTCCGGCTAGCGTTACTACATGCGTCTCCTTAAGAGAGGATTAATACTATTAATCTCCTCGTACTACTAGCCTTACCTTATATTTATATAGAAATCTATACTTATCGAATTTATATATTATCACCTATATCGAGTTCAGAACCTGATTTCTATCTATTACGGACGCCGGTACCCGTATCCACGATCCTATCTCCTTATAGCTCCGCAGGTAGTCTTCTTATGCCTATCGGAATAGGTGGCCGTAAGGGTATAAGGGTATATCGCGAGGGTTCTTCGGAGGAGGGGGGAGGTCTTTATAATAGATCTTCGCGGCTAAGGCTACCGCCGGGGTAAGATTTTCCGAGATAGCAATTAGGGCCGTGGGTTCGAGTAATAGCGATAAACGCCGCTATAGCGTTATAGGTGTGGTCCTTTTTAACTGTAATTTGGTTAGCGGAGTCCTATCTTTAATGCGTATAGTAGGGGCGTGGCGGCTAGCGTTAAACGCAGTAACCTAATAGTCTCTTTTCTAGCTATCTCCTTACCATATTAGTCGCGCTCCTTTATTTAATAGGAGCTCTATAGCCGTCGCTATAGGGGTATCGCGGTACCGTGTTCCGTTATCCTAAAACCCTACGGCCGTAACCGCAGGGGTATTACGATTTCCTAATATAACAGCTACTATTAGCGCTATAACCGACGGCGGGGCTACTAGTAAAGAGGGAAGTAGCGGAATAGGTGGTTATAGATGGTAATCAGGCGCTATACTCGCTAAATCGTGCTATTCGTGACCTAAGTTTTATCTAGCCACTTCTACCCCCTTACGGCCGGGTATTACAGAGTATAACCTTAACGGTAAAACCGTCGAGGAAGGGGATCCGGGGGCGTTTTGCCCCGGATCTAAGGCTATAAACAGTTTAAAATAAGCAGTTATATAAAGGGGGGGTCCTTAGCTTATACGTCTGTAAACGGCTATAAATCTCTAGCCCTCTCCTGCTCGATCTAACTAATTAGGTCTTCTAATTACTCCTCGGTTAATTAACGGAGGTTATCCTTAAAGGCGTTAATATCGCCGTTGAAAAAGTCATATTCGTCGAAATCTATATGGCACATACGAATAGCGCGGTTATAGTTACGGCGGCCTGGTATCTAGATACGGAAATATTAGTGGAAACGTAGCCGATAAGGTAGCCGATATAGGCACGAGGAGCGATACGATTTAATAGCTTATTAGCGCCCTTTTAGCCGTCCTTGGTTATTGCGTACGCCTTATAGCCGTAGGCTCGAAGATATAATAAAATCGGCTTCCTTCTAAAGAGGACCTCGTATAGCGTTTTTCAATCCTTATTATTATACTGCCTTTATAGCGTCCGGTTATAGACGTATACGGCCGTGGGAATAGCCTTAGGCTATATAAACGGCGGTAGCTTAGCGTGGATATTTATTGTATAACCCTTCGAAATAACCACAGCAGTAGCACGTTTAGTACCCCTATTCTGCGCTTAAGTGTCGGCGGTGGATGCCTTTAATAGAATACCCTCCTCGCGTAGGAAGAGGATAATATCGTTAGATTAAGTTAGCGTATTATTAGATTCGAAAACGCGTACCTTATAACCTAATTAACGGTCCACTTAGGCGAGGAATTCCTTAATTATTGTAAGGATATCTACTGCTAGCTTACTCTTTATAACGTAGGTGGCCGTAAAACCACTATAACGGTCGGTGAAAAATATAAACCGCGAGTCCCTGTCGGACGTTTAGTTAAAATCCGTGAAATTAATCGCTTACTCTTCCCCTGTAGTAGTAGGTGCGTTATAAGGGTGCCTGCTAACGTGTCGCTTGATCTTTATAAGCTTGTAGGCCTCGTAGTCGATAGTTATTAGTCCCTTTATTTTGGCCCCCTGCGTCTACTCTTCTAGGTGCCGTAGTGGTTTAGGGCTAGTATACCCTAGCCGTAGATGCTATAAGATGCCCTCCGTAGTGCTTAGATAACGTATTATCGATTTATGGACGGCTTTTCGGGTGGAAGACGACGAAGAAGAGGAGCCTAGAAGAGCGGCCGTAGAGAGGTCAGAATCGCAGGGCACGTACTCGATAACGGTCTAATCGAAGTGATAACTTAGCTAGAATAAAATAGATCTATCGGTATATTAAAGGTAATTATTTAGTGGCTTCTAATTCTACTAGTATCCTCGTAGTCGTAACCGTTAGTTTGAGATTAAATGATAGGTAAAATCTTTGTAGTATATAACGTTTAATAGTCTAAAATCGAGGCCTTCTATTAGTCCATTTAGTCTCACGGTCACGTTACCGTAACTTTTAATAGGCAGGGATAAACTACCGGCTATTACGTAGTCTCTCTGCGCGGTAGGTATAAAATTAGAAAAACAGGAAAATTCGTTAAAAATATAAATCGTGGTACCGGAATCGAGGATAGCAGAGGTTCGAAGAGGGTAACTAGTAGTAGTACCCGCTATAAAGGTAATAGCGTGGGAGACGCCGCTACAGACGCTGCTATAGTCGAGTCACGCCTCTTTAAGCTATACAGAGTCCCGGCTTATATCCTTCTTCACCTTCTTTACGGCGCGTAGTTCTTCTACTTCCGCACGTAGAGCGGGGTTATATTTAAGGATCCGTTAGACGGTTATTTTAGTGCTTTTAAAGGGCGTTTAGTCGTTATATACCGTATCCGGGAATAGATAGAAGTAGGCGTTACTATCGTGGCTAGGTATAGCGTATACGCAGTAGATCTGCCCTCTCTATAGAGTAGATTAGCCGCGTTTAGAAGAGGAACGGTTAGCTAAAGTAGTAGAAGGTGTGGCTATAGGATTCTTAGCGTTATTCTTTCTATAGCCACCCTTTTTAGGCTTAGCCGTAGTATTTAAGGTATCCTCGCCCTTTTCGCTTTTAGTGTGTAGTGTAGAGAATACTATAGTGCGGTGGCTACCGCGTTTTCCTTAGTCTTTAAGTCTAGTATTAATATATGTCTGACCAAGGGTGTAAAGGTCTTCGGGTATAACTACCTAGTTATCTATAAGGCGTCCCTCGGCCTCTATCTAATCGCGGCCAGTATAAGGGCGTATACCTCTAAAGAAATCTATAATCTATATATACGTGACGGGCTTCGAACCGGTATCTTTATAGCTTTATAGTAGTAGCTGCCACTTATCTAACCACTCCCCGAGCTTCTTAAGGCTATTCGTAGAGTAACGAGTATACTTAATGTACTCTTTATGGGTATCGGTTCAGCGGGTAGCTAGGTATTATTCCGTATTACATTTAACAGCTTTATATACCTCGCGGGGTATACCTCCTCGTAGTAGTTATCTACGGCTTTAGTCGATAGTATTAACCTACTAGGTTAGTATAGCATTAATCCCCTTTAGGTAGCT